ATAACATGAAAAATTAAAAATGAATATGGTACTCATCGACAAGGATGAATCATAAAAGCATTATTTTGAACAAAAGAAGCAAGTTACCAAAGAGTTTACAACATGACTCAATTTATGAAAGTTCAAAATAAGCAAAATTATACATACACATAATATGTGGAATATATATATACACACACACACACGTTCATATGTGGAATGTGCATATATGTAGTAAAATGATAAAAAGAAACAAGGAAATTCTTAACAAAAAAAACCAAATAGTAGTTACCTCTATAGGAGAAGGAAGAGAATGCAATCAGAAAGGCAAACACGAAGCTTCCAGATAACTACAAATGTTTTATTTCTTAGACTAGCGACAGGATACACAGTAGTTCCTTTTCGTTATTATTTAAACGGAGCAGATACATTTTATACATTTTTACGAATGTTTTCTATTTCAGTAAAACTATATATATTTATACTAGAGAGAAAAATGAATCTACGGTATTTGGTCCAAGAGATAGCTGTCGATACTTTAAAGAGCTCTAGGCCTCACCACGACGTGTTTCTTTGCACAACATACTGCCAAGTAAAATTGCCTCCAAACCTGACAGTGGACTCATACTTGGGCACTTACACTAATGATCGTGGTTGTTACAATTTTATTTCCAGATACCCCCTACTCTCATCTTTGGCCACTGTTACTGTTGCAACAAAAAAGCTACCATATAAGATGAGAGCCATGACTGCCAACAGGTGGGGGAGGTAGGATGGAAAGGGTGCCTGCTTCAGACATTCCAGGGGAATCAATCAGATTGTTGGCACTTCCTTTCAAGAGAGTCAAGTAATGTCTTTTACTTTGTAAGTGGACAGACATTAGTTGGAAGATGACCCTCTGCCAGGGCCCTGGCACAGGTGGCGAGTGGCAGCAGAGAGGCATTCTGAGAAGGCTGTAAAATAAGGAGGCTAAGGTGACAGAACAGAGTCTGAGAGACTGGGGCAGGCGAAGATGCCCGGGCACAGGAGGTGGCCCCTGGAGCAATTTAAATGATGAAGTGATTGGCACTAAACGCAGAGAAAACTCATAGGACGGGGCAATCAATCACTGCCAAGCTTATCTCCCGACAAGGAGTAGGACTCCAGCTTCCAGATGTAACATTAAAATGTAATGTTTCCACTGGGATTTAGCATGGCAGGTTTCCCTGAAGCTTCGGTTTCACTCAGTTAACTAATTATGAGAGAATGTGACATTGGTATTTACTTTTTTCTACAGGGACAAATCATTCCCAGCAGGAGGGAGAAGTTGTTATTTTTGTCCTGTTTTGTTTTGTCATTAAAAAGAAATTATTTATGCGGTAGTAAATAAATTCTTGTTAGAAGGAAAAAAATGTTTTCTCTATAATTCTATCATTCACCTTAATGCTGACAATCATTTCTTTTGTTTTCTGGGGACATGGTGGATAAAAGAAAAAGAGCTGGGTGTTAGAATTGGGTTTAAAAATTAACTCTAGCACTTACTATCTGCATGAGCTTCAGCGAGTTATTTAAGTACTTGGAGCCTGTTTCCCCAACTATAAAATGAGGATAATACATCTACTCGGTAGTGTTATTTGTGAAAGATGAAATGAAATAATGTAGCTGAAACACTTTGGCACAGTGTCTCCACATAATAAGTGCTCAGTAAACTTTGGCCTTTATTTTTAATGACTCTGATACTCTTTTATATAAATGGAAACATTCTACATTTTATTTATGCCTTGTATTGCCAATTCTATATGAACACACATCTAATCATGAACTGAACCTTTAACTTTGGCACTAAAAACTAAATTGTGTATTAAACATTTTACTCTTCCTCGCCCAGATATAAAAAGGTTTTCAATGAAAATTTAAGATTTAATGATAATGTTGAAGGGAACCCTTCTCCCTCTACCCCTTTCTGCACATCTTTTAATTTTTCAAAGGCAGTATGCCACGCTGAGCCAACATCCCTAGTAAACTCACACTGCCTCCTCCACTGCCTGGATGGTAATAGCATTATGTTTGGGGTGCTTTTAACAAACTGGAAAGTGATTTCACAGATGATTTCCCATCTGACCTCACAACCTTCCCTTGAGGTAGGGTAGATGTGATTAGCCCCATTTTACAGATAAGGAAACTGAAACTAAGACAGGGTAAGTGACATAGACATGATAGTCAAGTACACTTTCCATGAAAGGGTAATCTGTGCAAATAGAGAATGCCAGGGTTATCGAACTTTGGAAAATTAGATTTTCTCCAGAATGAAGTCTCTTTTGGAGATAGCGGAAATGACCAGTTATTAGAGAGAGATGTTGGATCATTGCTGGAAAACAAACGACATAGAAAATGGGTAGGCACAGAGCTTTATATTCCAATAGCACAATCCATTTGCCCAATGTGCCTCAATTTTTCTACTCATAAGTTGGAGAAAGCAAAAATGCTACATCTTACCGCTCTTCCAAGTATGTTGCATGTCATTATAGTGTACAAATGTAAACTTGATGATATAATATTCAAGAGGTTTTATGCTAACTACAGTAAATATGAACACTTAAAAATGTAAAAACAAAAGAAAACATATTTTGAGTGTTAGGTAGAAAATCTTGGTGATAAGGAAAAGGATAAGAATGTTTTTCCAAGGATACACGGGCTAGAAGATGATGAAAAATTAGATAAGATTAGATAAATTAGCATTTAATTTTACATTACATATTTGAATAATTTTGGAAGTTGCAGAATCAAACTAAGAGGCATGGACATGTAATACATTTTTGAAGCCATGAAAATATAAAAGCCTTTTAATTTGGATAATGTTTCTTCAACTAATCACATATACCAGTTCTTAATCAATTCTGAAGTGCTGTTAATACTGAGCAAGTCACCTTTTAGGACTTCTAATGACATCGATATATGCTCACTGATAGCTCATAATCTTTTAAGAATTCCTAGTAGACTACAGAATTGCAATTCAGAAGACCCACTCATTTTTTTTTTTTTTTTGAAATGGAGGTGAAGTTCTTATTGATAGGAAAGCAAAAGCAAACAAAGTTCATTAAGAGGAACCCTAGTTCAAAATAAAAACCAAACACAAGTTTCTAGCTAACATTTGAAACTGGAAGCCCAAGGACTTCTAAATATGCAATAAAAACCTAGTCATACCAACACCAACGAGCAAACTAGCATGCAACAAAAAGTCATCAGTAGGTGGTTGATTGCCTAATTCTGAGTTAATGGGTCTAAACATAGTTTGCCCTATGGTTCTTCATAGGACATGACACAGCTTCATGTCAATATTGGGGCAGATCTCGTGGTACGGCAGCAGAAGAGGCCTGCCTAAGACTCCCTTTCCATGTCCTCATTCATTCACTTAATAAACATCGTTTGCATGTTTCTGTTCTGGGGGATCTGTGTCAAAGAACTCACAGCCTAGCAGGACAGACAGGCAAATCAAGCATCAAATTTGTGCCTTAAATTCTAGAATGAAGAAAAATATTTGATGCAGTGATAACGAGTCAGGAAGCTCTCCTGGAGGATGAGATGATTAACGAGGTCTCAAATACTAAGTATAAACTGTCTATATGGCAAAAGGGAGGAGTAACTTCCTGTCAGAAAGAACAGTATGGACAACAGCAGGGACACATGATAAACTGGCAAGTTCCGGAAACTGGATGTAGCGCCTCACGGCCAGAGCACAGAGCATGGTAGGAGAAGGGGAAAAGATGCCAAAAGAAGCAATAAGCAGTAGAGGAAGACAAAGATTCCAGCATTTAGGACTTTCTATTCCATGTTAAAATATAATATTGGAAAGCTGAATACAATTTGGTCGATTGAAAGGATTCTATCCTAGGGACAATGGGAGTAGAATTTTACTATAGAACAATCAGTTTGGTGCTATCTAGGTATACAGTGAACTGAGGAAGGAAATCTGGAGGTATGGATACCAGTTAAAAGGCAATTTTAAAAGATCCAAGTAAGACATGGAGAGGCCTTAAACTAAAGCAATGGGGAAAGAAAAGAGATGGAGACTAAAGAAGTATAAAACACAGAGTTGATAGGATTTAGTGACCAAGAGGAAGCAAGGGGATGAAGAGGGAAGCTTAAAACAGCTTTCACAGCTTTTTAGATGGCTGGCTGAACGAATAACAGCGCCCTTAGCTAAATCAGGGACTGCATGAAGAGGAACGCCAGTAGTACTCCTGGAGTCCTGGTTTATCCCTCTTTTATAAGACTAATCACACTCTGCTTTGTACTGAAGTAAGCATGCGTCACTCCACATCCCCTCCCCACTAGACTCATAAAGCTCCTCGAGGGAAAATTCTGTTTCACACCCCACATTGTCTCTGCATATAGCCCCATACGGCATATTTGTATAACATGATTATATAGCATAACTGACTCACTGTAGACACTTAACGAACATTTTAGAATGACTGATTGAATAAATAGACAACTCCAAAGGTTAGATGTGACAAAACTATACATCTTAGCCTTTAAATGAAATAGTTGTCTCTTAAAATGCAAATAACTCCCTGGAGCTGGATAACAACTCATACCACTATCAATTAGCTTCATCTCAGACTCATAACACCCTCTGCAAATCCCAATGTCCAGTCTGGAAGGGATTTTTGGGACTATCTACTAGAAATTCCCATTTTTAAAGATGAAAAATCTGTGATTCAGAGAAGGTACAGGGCTGGCCCAAAGTCACAAAAAGTATCTGGTGGGACAGAAATCAGGCAGAATACATTAAGCTTCGCAATACCTGTCAACCAAAATGGTTGTAACGGATTTGAAGATAATACGACATATCAAATTTAGCTAGGATGAATTAAGTTTTTAAAAGTGCTTCACATTTCACACTAAAAAAATACAAGGTAAATATTTTAGGGACATTGTCTTAAATACTTCTTCCCTCTCACAGCGAAATTCAAGGACTCAACTTTTAGTTGAGAACAACTTTCAAATCCTGAATTAGTATAAGTAAGACAGATTCTTACCGTGATCTTCTGAAGAGACTGGTGACCTAAAATAAAATAATAAGCATGATAAATCTTTTGTAAGTGATCTGATAATTATAAGTACAACAGTGATCAAGAATAATCTCATAGAAATTATACCCCCCAAATTCAGTTAAATAGAAATTCAATATAGTCGATGGTGTAATTAATGTGTTGTTTGCATGGTATATTCTAATCAATAACTCCCAAAGCTTACCTGGATTGGTTGAGTGGTAGATGTTGCTAAAATGCCAGTCTACTGCATGGTGTCACAGGACTGCAACAAACTTAATTAAGTCTGGATTTATCACACACAGAGAGAAAACTCATAGAAATGTGGTAATGAATGAAATCCTGTGATGTCACTAAGTGCCCAAGGCCAGGCTTCCAGAGAAAATGCTAAGGACATAAATAAGCACTAGATTGAGCATCTGTAGGTAAAAAGAAATCTACTTGAACAGTAAAAATTGAGACAGAAGTAAAAAAAATGGCATGTACCCTTATCATTATTGTTTTTTGTTTCCACTTTTTGTGGAATGTAACGTTTGAGTGAGCATGATATAGACCCTCTACCTGCTGGCCTTAACGTCTCTAAACCTGTGAGAATCAAGATGAGGCAAGAGCATGATCACTGGGGTCCCACAGAACTTTTACAAATCAATGAGTTTTGCATATCATTTGGGGATCCGCTCTAGCTATGGTAGTAAGATACCAATGGAGCATCTTTGTCTTCCTCTACTGCTTATTGCTTCTTTTGGCATCTTTTCCCCTTCTCCTACCATGCTCTTTCACAATAAAAACCTTTTGTTCTTCCTCAGCTGACAACTAATTGAGTTACTTTGAGCAATACAGATACAAACTTCTGGATGAATTCTCCCTCCACCTTGAAAGATACAGTCTTGACTACCAACTCATCCTTTTCTTGGAAGAAAGAGATGCATAGTACCATATTCAGAGGTGTCAGAATTTTGAAGGGAAAGGCAAGAAACCACTTGGAAGGAGTCCTCTCCTCTAAACGATCAGCCTGCTGGAGTTCGGAGCAGGCAGGTGACCAAACGCAAATGCGATAATTTGGTAATAAAGCTACTCATTAATATAACTAATATTTATAAGACGTGATGACAAATGTTGGGGCAAGAATTATTCAGTGGATGCATAGTGGTTGAAGGAAAATTTTAGCTACTGCTTTACTTTATCTACTGATCAGTAATATTTTTGTCCACTATGTGAGCAAACAGTAAAGTATCAGGACACAGTAGTAACAGTGAGAGAGCCTTGAACTTCTACTAGTGGCAAAATGTGAAATCATTTCAACCTTATGGGTCACTTCAAGTAAACTTTTGCATGTGAAAACTACAGAGAGTCCCAAGATTTGGCAGAGAGAAAATGGGCATCTGGGAGATGGACACAGAAAGCAGTGAGAGGGAACCTAACACACTACTAAGTCATCACTGTAGAGTTGGCTGCTTGAGAAACGCCACTTGGGCTCCCCAGGTGCTAGTGGATCCTCTCCTTTGAGTTCCCTTATTCCATCCTGTCCCATACCAGTCCTCCCCACTAGGTTCTGAGCTCCTTGGAAACCAGGGCCATGTCCTACTTAGAACAGAGTGGGCCCCTGATTAAAATGTATTGAATTGAATTAATTTCAGCACCACCACACTAGGGTTCAGACTCAGACACCTCCTGGAACTCCTCAAAAGTCACCATGTCACCTTCAAACCAACTTCAAGACAAGTTTGCTGCCTCCTAGGCCAGCTGTGTGGGAAGGGCCTAGGGAATGAGCCTGAAGCTCCAGATGTGGGCACTCTCAGAGCCAAAAGACATCCAATGCACCCAGCAAAGAGACACCCACAATCTGCCTAAACGATTAGGAAAAACAGAGGGGGAGCAGGTATTGAATATAGGTAACATGGGATTGGAAGGTGAGTCTAAAGAGAAACGTATATTTGAAATAAGAGGAGATAATTTCTTATGCTGCCTAGCGCATAAAAAAGAGTCAGCAACAAGGAAACATCTCCACCCCCAGTGTTTTCTGATGGGAAGTAAGCAAAAACACGTCTTGGATTGTCTGCAATTAATTTCTCATAGAGCTATAGGAACAAAGAAAAATCCATGCCAATGGACGGCTGAATGTCTCAGGTAGACGGCTTGTGAAGCTGGGGTTTGCTGCCTTCCTATGAAAGCAAAGCACTAATATTAAATCTGAAAAATTCCAGATGGCTCCGTTAAAGTCCCTAGGGAATGCAATCTGCGATATGTCCAAGCAGTGGGGAAGAACTATCGATTTCAGAGTGTTTTCTAGGGATTAGCCACGTTGAGTTTCTGTGTGGAATGTCTCCCACATGCCTGGATTTGTGGAATTTTAAGACATACGGAGTATTTCAATCCTCACTCAGTATTTCACCTTTCAGGGTAACCAGTCACTAAATTACACTACTGAGACATGCACACCATCCATTATTGCTGGAAATGGGCATAAAAAGTTTTACAGAACTTAGGAGAGAAGAAATATCATGAAATCAGCAGTATAAGTATTTATTTTTAAAACAGAGATGTTGAATCCCAGGAACAGATAATCTTCCTCAACCTGACAATTGAGGAATGTATGAAAGCTCACTGCTTATTCCTCCCACTGCACCTGAATGACTTGCGGTTTTGTCCCAGACTGTTTATTCTCCTCCATACATACTTCATCTCGGAGATAGCATCTGCTCTCGTCTGCCAGTAAATTATTACTAGCACTCAAATAACTCCAGGATTTAGAGTTCTCCTCCTCACTTCTTTCCTCATCACTAGTATTTTATTACAGTCTATAGAATATTTATATTTGATTTTGCTCTGTTTTAGTATTTTTTTACACTTTTATTTACATTTCATTCAGATTCAGCAAAGTAAAACAACAAAAATGAAAACTTAAGTCCTGCATTTGAAAATCTTTCTCTTGTTTTATTAAATCTGAATAATTATCATTCAAGTTTGAGTCTTTGCATTGTGTTGAATAATAATTATTACTTGAGACCCTATTAAGTACCAGGCCCTGTGTCTGGTGATGGGGATACAAAGATGAATAAGATATCAATTTCAGGGAACATATAATCCCATGGAAGAGAAAAATAAGTAAATAAATGATTATAATTTAGTGAAAAAATGTAATGATCATAACATACATGAAGTAAAGAGGAAGCACAGAAGAGAGGGAGACCAATTCTGCTCCAGAAGAGTGAAAGAAGGCTCCAGAAAGCAAGAACCGTCTGACTGGGCTCTGGAGGATAAGCAGAAGTTTATTAGATAAGAAAGTAAGGAGCATAATTCCAGGGTGAAGCATGAGGCACATGAAAAAAGAGTACAGATATAAAATTTCATAATATGTTATCAGATATACACGTGACCCAGTGTGGCTAAAATGTAAAGGAGTAATGCAAGTTAGGACTACAGACATAAGAGGCAGGGGCCATTTCAAGGGCTTGTCATTTACCTTCTAAGCTAAACGGAGCAAGGTTCTGAAGCAGAGAAGTCGCACATTTTCATTTGGGCTTTTGAACGGGCAGGCTGTGGAGTGTAGATTATAAAGGAGCAAGAATAAAGGCAGAAGACAAGTTCAAGACTATAACCGCAAAACTTCCACATTAATTTCTCTGCTCTTCAATTATTTTTGAAATTCATGGAAAATAACAGAAAGAATGAGAAACAGAAAAGAAAACATCATCTTTGACTAAACTAGAAGATGCCCACAAACGGGAATCATCACAGATGAAGAAGAGCTACCAAGTAAAGTGAAAACTGGACCAACTTTCAGAGAGAGAGTGTTTCAATCTTAGTCAACTTAAGATACAGGAGCTACATCATGCACCACAGAACTACAACACAAAGCCCTCCACGCTGAGCCAGGTGTCCTGCTGTCAGAAGGAGACTCAACCCCGGAGGAGAGCGCTGCTAGGAAAGAGTTTGAAGACAACAGACCCAAAGTCAAGCTTCCAGAAACACACTAACCCACTATCCCTAATTATTCATCCCAAACTAGGGGTTCCAAAAAGGACTCACCCAATGCAAGTATGAGAGATGAACAAACAAAATACCCCAAGAAGAGAGCAGGTCAAGGATCTGCTGACACACAAAACATAGGCTGAGAACATGCTAAAAAGACGATGGCACGAAGCACATAAAAAACCAAACAGATCTCCACGAAATTTAGAAACAGAAAAAGGGAAGGAAGGGAGGAAGGAAGATCTAAAGGGAGGAAGGGATGGAAATAGAGCCTCTGTGAAGAGAAACTTAAAGAAATACGATGATCAAGAAATAGTTATAAGATGACGGCAGAGGAAAAAGCAAAGATTTGCCAAGAGTCTCTGAACTAGTAAGTTATAGAAAAAGCTTGAGGGTTTTTTCCACTGTGTCACCACTCCGCTAGGAACAGAAAATTAAGACGAGAGGAATAATTAAAAATATATTAAGAAATAATCCATTATTTAGTCATCCATTCAAGTATCTGCTTTGTGGAAGTCTGTTTAGCTTTTTTTCACTTTGATTTACTTTTCTGTGAATTTCGATTTGAATATTGCTAGTAAAAGTCCCCTTCTCAACGTTAACCCTGCTCAGTAGAATATTCTCTCCTTTGAAATGAAGGCAATGCTTCTCAAACTAGGGTACAAGAGGAACTTGAAAATAAAGGAAGCCCCAGGAAAACAAGACACTATTATAAGATGGGGGATATGTAATTTAACTGATAAAAATTAAAATATTATTTTTATATTGAAACCGGCACAGTCATATTACGGATCCAAAGGCAAAAGTCACTTGAATTCTTAAAATAAAGCAATAAACGTAAAAAAAAAAAATCTGTGTTTCAGGCAGTCAGCTTCAGGCAATGTCTCCAAGGCCCATAAGAGGGTGAGTGTGTTCTCCTCTGGAATAGGGGTGTTTCCAAGGAAAAGTCTGAAAGCATGAAATTATCCACTTAAATATAGCTATAACATCTCAGAATGAATAATTTTATAAGATTAATGTATGCAGATATCAAGAATCTGAG